GCTGTGTTTCTCTCTAGGATCTGTTGGGCTGCTTCCACAGCAGCACCGAGGGCTTCAGTGGGGAAGGCTGCCAGGTGAGGGTGGCGGCCCCCTCCTCCTCCCCCAGTGCCGAGGCCGAGTACTGGCGCATCCGAGCCATGGCTCAGCAGGTAAGGGCTGGGGCTTTGGATCCCAGAGGCTCTAGAAGCTTGACATACTGCTGGGACCCCCCTGAAGGTCTTATATCACCAAACTGCCTAGCAAAGTGTAGAGTAGCATGGACCCATGAGTAGTCCTGACAGCAGATATCCTAATTAACTGCTTACTCTTGTGTGGTATACAATATGATACCAAACAGATGTCACAGTCTGAGATCTTTTACAAACATAGCACCCTCTTTGTTTACTTTTAATTAATAATAAACATCAGCACCTGCTCTTTGGAATGTAATGAACGGTCACATGGCAGAAGTAGGGGGGTTATTAGTGTCAGTCGCTAACATTTACCGTTCTTCTGTTCCCGGGCTTTGCCTCTGTAACACACACATATTAATTCATTTAATTCTCTCAACATACCAGGTAAGAAACCATTATTAACCTCATTTTATAGGTGAAAAAATGAGTAGAGAGAGTAAGCCCTTTGCCATGGCCATCCAGCCTCATCGCTGTGGAATCAGGTCAGAGATGGTGGAGCTCTGAACTGTACCTTTGTGCACCCATGCAGGTGTTTATGTTGGATACCCAGTGCTCACCAAAGACTCCAAACAACTTCGATCACGCTCAGTCCTGTCAGCTCATTATTGAGCTGCCTCCTGATGAGAAGCCAAACGGACACACCAAGAAAAGGTAAGCAGCTATGCCTAAAAGTGTAGAGAGCTCATAAAGAGGAAAGTTCGTTTATTCCCAATTCTTGGTCATGGTAATCTAAGCTTTTGACAAGAATACTGAAAACACTTGTAGAGTCATTTAACAAAGGTTTTCATAGAAAATTGTTAGCCTGTTAACCATATTTCCCACATTTCATGCATATTAGTTTGTAGTGCTGCCATTGCAAAGTACCATTGACTGCATAGCTTAAACAACAGACATTTATTTTCTCACAGTTCTGGAGGCTGGAAGTTTGAGATTGAGATGTCAGCAGGGTTGGTTTCTTCTGAGGCGTCTCTCCTTGGCTTCTAGCTGGATGTCTTCACGTGATTTTTTTTCTCTGTACCTGTCTGTGTCCTAATCTCCTTTTCTTATAAGGATGCCAGTCATATTGAATTAAGGTCCACCCTAATGACCTCATCTTAACCTAATTATTTCTTTGTTTCCAAAGATAGTCATATTCTGAGGTACTATGAGTTAGGATTCAACATTTGAAGTTTTCTGGGGGTGGGGGTACACAATTCAATGTGTCTATAGCATCATACATATTATAACTTTTTAAAATAATTGTAATTTGATGTGTGATTCATATTGTTTCAGCGAGAAATACATAAACATCTCATGAGCAATACAGCTGTCAGGAGACAAAAAGATCTGTGCCCTACCACAAGAAACTCGTTCTTTTTAAATACAGGCATACCTCAGAGATATTGCAGGTTTGGTTCCAGACCACCACAATAAAGCAAGTCATAATCTTTTCGCGGGTGCAGGGTCTTGCCTTCAATTTGTAAATAAGTGCATCTGTGAAGTGCACTAAAACGAGGTATGCCTATACTATCATCCTACCTAAAAACTATTGTTCCTGGACTTGAAGATGAAAGCAATGACTGAAGTTTTCCATTTTTAAACTTCTAACACACTAATAGTAATGATGATAAATATTTGAGCATTATACGTGAAGTACAGTGGCTAGGTATTTTCACTCCCATTTATCTAGGAGGAAACATTCAAGGAGGCTGAGCCACTTATCCAGAGAACACATAAATGCAACATGGTAGAGCCAGCATCAAAACCATTTCCAGTTTAGGGAGAGTGTGCGATTTTTCTAACAGAAGTTAGCTGGTTAGTACAGCAGTTTGATACAATCACTTTGGTGAAATTTTCAGATATAATTTTTTTAGTCTACTGTGTGGTACATACAAAAGAATATGTGGAGGGTTCAAAAGTTATAAAGAATGAATAAAAATTAAAATAGCTATGAACCTGTCACCCACCTTCAGATATAGAACTACCAGTTTCCCATGTGCTCCTCCCCAATTCTCTACCCTGTTTCCCTCATTTTTATCTATTTTATGTACCAAATATTATACTCCTTTTCACATCTTTAAAGCATTGCTCTATTTCAGAATTTCAGTTCTCTTCCTACCTATTTATTCAAGGGTCAGCTGTACCTTAAACTATGAATCTGTTTCTCTCTGATGCTGACATTAGCATGTGTTACGTCAACACTTGTTATACAATTAATTCTCAATTATCCAATCTGGAGACTTGCTTTCCTGTGCACTTTGCATCAGAAGCAGGAAGGGGAGGTGTAAGTTTCACCACCTTCTTAAAGGGTGTGCTCAGAACAAGGTTGAAACACTTGGGTACCACAAATTGAAAAATTATCTGTCGAGTTTCATTTGCTTCAGACCTTTCTTGTCTCCTACCTGCATAGGTGATTAAGAGTTACTTATCTACAAAATTATTTTACTCTTTGGATATCTGTCTAAAATTTTGATCTCTTTAGTATTGTTTCTTTGTCCACTCTGTTTTCTTATTGCTGCATCATTTAGCTTGAACCTAAAGTAAGGAGATCTTCAGTCCTTTCTCACATGCACAGTTAGGAATTTTATATCCTAAAGCATGAAAGGGAATCTCTTGCTTGATAAAGATACTCCATAATGCAAACATGGCCTTGCATCAGCCCTCTCATGTTTGCTGGTAAAGGGCTTTCCATTTCTCAGGGAAGGTAATAGAAAATATCCTGTGGGATATGGTGTTTATACCTTTAGAAGGCTGACCAACTCACCCCTCTGGTTGTGCTTCCTACTTCAGGAGTCCAGGCTGCCAGAGGCATGGGGTTGAAGTGTCAGAGCCATTTCCCAAGGAAAGCATTTCCTCCAGGCAGTGGTCTGTTGAGGCGCCTGCATGGAGAACAAGTCTGTTTTGTTATTTAATTTGTTTTGGAGATCTACTGAGCACTAATCACACCAGACATTTTCCTAGGCCCTGGGGACAAGATGAGTAAGATGCTGCCCTGGCCCATGAGGACTTTACAGTATAGTGGGGAAGACAGGGACTAGAAGGATTTCCCTTCGGAGTTAGACTCGAACACTTGTAGACATGAAGCACTAAACCAACTTAGGGCCTGTTAGAGCCCTCTTCTTCAGAAAAATGCATATTCAGTGTTCCCAATACCTTAAGTAACTTATTAAAAATTAAATAGGAGCTGAGGAGAGGTGGGAAATAGGGAGTTATCATTTAATGGGATACAGTTTCTATTTGGGATGATGAAAAAAGTTCTAGAAATAGGGATGACAGTTAGTCAACATTATGTATGTACTTAATGTCACTGAATTGTACCTTTTAAAATGGTTAAAATAAGTAACGTTATTTTTTTGTGGTAAAATATACATAAGACATAAAATAACTAAGGGATTTGTTAGAATGGGTGACTGTTTGTGAATGACAGTTCTTTGCTACTTCCTCAGTCCATTTTTGCTGAGCATACTGTTTTCCCACAGTGTACCATGGCATGAAGGGCATGGTCAGCTTTTAAATGTATGGAAAGATTTTTGGTTTTCTTGTGCTCCTTAAAAAAGTCTTTTCCAGTGATGTCAGTGTCATAGTAGAGTGAGATGACCCATTTGTATCTCTTTTCCAATCTGCAACTAATCACACATCAATAACCCAACAAAGGTTTCTCTGCTCAACACACTACAACTCCTGAAAGATCCACACATCTGAAGGTAGCTGGATTGGAACACGTAGGGAGGAAGGATATGGATGCACCCAGCCCCCAGCAAACGCCCTAGAGGTTAAGGAATCAGGGTGCAGCCTCCACACCACAGCACGACAGAGGGTAAAAGAGGCAGTATGGACACCCAAGAATCAGCTCCTCCCCCCAGTTGCAGTGGTGTTTGCATGTCTGTGGCTTCCCTGCTAGAGAACAGCAGAACCAGTAGTCATAGAGAACTAGGTAGCAGCTCCTCCCCACAACCTGCGACATCCTGTCACCACGGTGATAGTGCCCTGATACCCAAGTGACCCAAACAGCAAAAGTACCCACCACCCTGCTCACACAGGCAACAACTCCCACAATGGCTACTCAACCTGCTGAATTGCTAAAATCAAAAGGGTACCTAAATAAGAAAGGTGTTCACTACTTCAAATGCACCAGCAGAGGAACAGCCCATCAAGCACTATGAACAACCAAGGTAACACAGTAGCATAAAAAGAAAATGACAATTCTCCAGGAATCAAACTCAAAGTCATGGAAGAATGTGTTCTAAATGATAGAGAATTCAAAATAGCAGTCATTAAGAAACTCAAGGAGATAGAAGAAAATTCAGAAAAACAGTTCAATGAGATGAAAATACAAAAGAAAGCATTGGAAATAGAACAGACCATATGGAAAAAATAATTAGTGAGATAGAAGATAGAAATCTAGAAAGGATTCAGTTGGTAAAGGAGAGAAAAATAAAATGTTTTAAAAATGAAAGAACTGGGCCTGCCAAGTGGCATGTTGGTTAAGAGCTGGCTTGGGATGCTAGAGGGCCCCGGTTCAGATCCCACAAATGAGGGCCAGTGACTCTGCCCTCTATAGCTAACATGCTGAACAACAGCTCAACCTGGAGCTGGGCTACTGTGAGTCGCCGGTGACGGCGTAGGCTGCAGCCCTGCTGCAGTGGGTTGCCATTGGCTAGTGTGTGTAGCCAGCAGCCAGAGTGAGCGGCCAGCAGCCGCCGTGAGCAGCTGTCCAGAAGCCGGCGACTGATCTACCTCGTCCAGGAAGAGCTCAATGATGGTGCCAACTTGGGCCAGTGAAGCAACATCCTCCATGACTAGACTGAAGAACAAAAGGACAACAACTTGTCTGTTCCCCTTCCCCCAATTCCCCAACAAAATCTTTAAAAAAAAAAAAAAAAAAGAACTCTATGAGAACTATCTGACTACATTAGAAAGGGCAACATAAGAATAATGGGTATCCTATTGGGTTGTCGGAAAAGTCATGATGTATTTTTTCTGGTTTTTGTTGCAAAAATGTGTCATGACTTTTCTGACAACCCAAAAGAAGAAAAAGAGAGGGAGAAGAGAACAGAGACTATCCAAAGAAATAATTGATGAGAACGTCCCAAAGCTGGGGAAGGAACTGAACATACAAGTACAAGAACCTACCATGTTTCCCCAAAATAAGACCTAACCGGAAAATAAGCCCTAGCATGGTTTTTCAGGATATTCGCAATATAAGTCCTACCCCAAACATAAGCCCCAGTTAAGATTGTCAGCCAGACATGACTGTTTAAATAAATGTAGGTTTTTGTACATGAATAAATGAATAAATGTAGATTGTTGGAGCAAAAATTAATATAAGACCAGGTCTTATTTTCAGGGAAACATGGTAACAAAACACCTAATTATTTCAAAGCAAAAAGTCCTTCTCTAAGACATACTATATTAAAACTGTCAAAAGTAAATAATAAAGAAAGAATTCTCAAGGCAGCCAGGATTAAAAAGGACCATAACCTACAAAGGAAACCCCTTTAGGCTATCATCAGATTTCTCAGCAGAAACATTACAGGCTAGGAAAGAGTGGAATGATATATTGAAAGATTGAAACCACCAGTCAAGAATACTCTCTCTAGCCCAGTTATCCTTCAGATAAGAAGAGAAATAAAGGCTTTCCCAGAAAAACAAGATCTACGTTACAAGAAATGTTAGAAAGAGATATTTTACCTGAAACAAAAAGACAAAAAGCACACAAAACTTTGAGTGAGGTGACAAAGAGATGCAGAAAACTGCAGCTCTATTTCAGAATATGGTGTTAAACAATTATTGCAAAGGTTAAAGGTAAAAAAGCATTTTGGCAGTGAGCATGCAATAGGGTACACATATATCAAATCATAATGTTGTATACCTGAAATTTATAAAATGTTATTGGGTTGTCAAAAAAGTCATGATGCATGTTTGCGACAGATGGCACTAGTTCATTTTTGAAAGTACTAGAGTCATTTGCATCTATATTATTGCTATGTCACTTGACAGCTGACAGTTCTAGCTTTATTCTAAAACAACTGAGCAATTTGGCTGTTTTGGAGATTTTATAACAAGTTGAAGATGGAAGACCAAACTATGCATTTTTGCCATATTTTACTGTTTTACTTCCATAAAGGGAAGATGCACATCAAGTTTATGAAAAGTTTCATAAAGTTTACGGTGACAATGCTCTACAAGAACATCAGTGCCAACGATGGTTCACAAAATTCCATGCTGGTGATTTTGATCTCTACGACACTCCTTGGTCAGGAAGGCCCACCGAGGTCGATGACAAAATAAAGGCATTGATCGAGTCAAACCCACATTACACAACACGAGAGATTGCATAAACATTGAACATCTATTATTCAAGCATTCACGACCACCTGAAGAAGCTGGGATACATAAGTAAGCTCGATATTTGGGTTCCGCATGAACTCAAAGAAGTTCATTTGACGGTGTGTATAAACATCTGCAATATGCTCATTAAACATGAGGAAAATTATCCTTTTTTGAAGTGACTGATAACTGGTGATGAGAAGTGGATTGTTTACAATGTGGTGTGCAAACAGTCTTGATCCTGACGTAATGATTCGCCTCAAAGGACATCGAAAGCAGACGTTCGTCAGAGGAAGGTTATGCTCTAAGTGTGGTGGGATTTTAAAGGTGTCGCATTTTTCGAGCTCCTACCAAGGAACCAAACAATCAATTCGAATGTGTACTATCGGCAATTGGACAGTTTGAACGAATCCATCATGCAGAAACCTCCAGAGCTTGTTAATTGTAAAGGAGTTGTGTTCCATCACGACGACAATGCGAGACCACACACAAGTTTGATCATCCGTCAGAAATTATTGGAGCTTGGATGGAATGTGTTGCCACACCCACCACACTCGCCTGACCTTGCGCCATCAGACTTCCACTTGTTTCACTCTCTTCCAAATTCCTTGCGTGGTATAACGTTCAATTCAGATGAGGCTGTAAATCAGTACCTTGTTCAGTTTTTTGCAAATAAAGAGAGGTCCTTCTATGAACGAGGAATTATGAAGCTCACTGAAAGATGGCAAAAGGTTATCAAACAAAATGGGCAATATATTATTGATTGATCTTTGTTCTTTATATAAGTATCTAACCTTTGAAAAACAGACAAAATATGTCATGACTTTTCCGACAACCCAATATTAACCAGTGTTACCTTGATTTTCAAAAAGTACTTTTCCTGCTAGTTATAAAAGTAATTTTCAAAGGCCTAGCTATGACCTTGAAAATATTAACATAATGTTTGGACCTTTGAAATCAATGTTTTTAATAAGTATTATCATAATATAATTATCCAGTTATAAGAACTACTTGCAACATAATGGCATTAAGCTATTTTCATGGACTTCTAAGAGCAATGAACAGAACATGAAACCATAAACCCAAACCACACTGGTGAATTAAAATGTTCAGTAAACATAGTACCTGGAGTTGAAATTGTTTTCTTAGTACAAGAATCCAGCCAAACGCAAGGGGTCAAATCATAAGCAACATTCACTTCTAAGGCTGCCTTATCCTGTCTGCACCCTGATTAAGAGAAGCAGGAAGTTGTCATGATTAGTGGGTTGTGCCTGCCTCTCAACCAGGAGTCCTGGCAGGTGTCTAGGGAGGAGTCTCCCTCCCTGACATCTCCATTCCACGCAGCTGAATTGAGAGGCATCTCACTGGATCTAAATGAGTGCTCAGGGCCCACAAAGAGTACCACGGTCATGCTGGACGACCAAAGTATGCTGAAGTAAATTAGTGTCCATTGAGAGACCGCTTTCTCTGCGAGTTTTGTGTTAGAAACCTGTGAGTTAAATTTATCTCTTAATTTTGCAGATGTTAGCCTATAATACCTCTAATGTTAAAACTTTTCAATGTTTGACTCTCCTCTATTTCACATGCTAGAAGCACTGAAGTTTTTACATATATGCATCTAAAGCATTAACACTTAACCCTGGCAAACTGGTTTGGTCCTTAGAAATCTAGACTTCAGTAAAATTGCTAAAAACTTTGGGTTTAAGAAAAAAAATCCAGGAAAAATTAATAGAACTCAACAGAAAATGTTACTTTTTTATTTGCTATGTTTTAATTTATTACAACTATGAAAGAAAATGTGTCCTATCCCATAATTGTGCCTACATTAAAAATATTTTATAAACCTCTTCTACTTTTTCCTAAGACTTGTAGATAATTTTTCATTCTGTATCACAACTTACATTAATTCTATAGCTCCTAAATTTTAAAAAGTATCTGGAATTCCATTAACCATGATTTAAATGGTTATTATATAAGGCCCTTTTGTAAGGAACACATTAAACTATAAGAAGTCTGTGATGTTGCAGATGTCATTTTGAAATGTGTAACATCTGAATTGCTTTAAAATATCTCATGTAAGGCAGAAGGCTACTAATCAACCCCTTTCTTTCATTTGAAGTGTTTCTTTCAGGGAAATTGTGGTGAGCTTACTATCTCATCAAGTGTTACTGCAGAACTTATATGATATCTTGTTAGAAGAGTTTGTCAAAGGCCCCTCCCCTGGAGAGGAGAAGACAATCCAAATGCCAGAAACCAAAGTGGCCGGCTTCCTCAGATACATCTCCATGCAGAACCTGGCGGTCATATTTGACCTGCTGCTCGACTCGTACAGGACGGCCAGAGAGTTTGACACCAGCCCTGGGCTGAAGTGCTTGCTGAAGAAAGTGTCTGGCATTGGAGGTGCTGCCAACCTCTACCGCCAGTCGGCAATGAGTTTTAACATCTATTTCCACGCACTGGTCTGTGCTGTTCTCACCAATCAAGAAACCATCACTGCCGAGCAAGTGAAGAGAGTCCTTTTTGAGGATGACGAGAGAAGCACAGATTCGTCGCAACAGTGTTCATCAGAAGATGAAGACATTTTTGAGGAGACTGCCCAGGTGAGCCCCCCAAGAGGCAAGGAGAAGAGGCAGTGGAGGGCTCGGATGCCCTCTCTAAGTGTCCAGCCCGTCAGCAATGCAGACTGGGTGTGGCTGGTCAAGAGGCTTCACAAGCTGTGCATGGAGCTGTGCAATAACTACATCCAGATGCACCTGGACCTGGAAAACAGCATGGAGGAAGCGCCCATCTTCAAGAATGACCCATTCTTTATCCTCCCATCCTTCCAGTCGGAGTCATCCACCCCATCCACTGGGGGGTTCTCAGGGAAAGATACACCTTCTGAGGATGACCGAAGTCAGACACGAGATCACATAGGCGAGCCTCTGAGCCTGAGGGGGGGCAGTGGGGAAACGCTGCTGCTACCCCCAAGCCCCAAGGTGGAGAAGAAGGACCCCAGCCGGAAGAAAGAGTGGTGGGAAAATGCGGGGAACAAAATCTATACCATGGCGGCCGACAAAACCATTTCAAAGTTGATGACTGAATACAAAAAGAGGAAACAGCAGCATAACTTGCCCACATTCCCCAAAGAGGTCAAAGTGGAGAAGAAGGGAGAGCCGCTGGGGCCGAGGGGCCAAGACTCCCCACTGCTTCAGCGTCCCCAGCACTTGATAGACCAAGGACAGATGCGGCATTCTTTCAGTGCGGGCCCCGAGCTGCTGAGACAGGAGAAGAGGCCCCGCTCGGGCTCCACCGGGAGCTCCCTGAGTGTCTCTGTGAGAGATGCCGAAGCACAGATCCAGGTGGGTACCAGGTGGCTTTCCCAGCATGCAGTGGAGGAAGCTGGCTTTCTAATGACAGCCATGTTCCCCTCCAGAGCACTCATACACATTCCAAGATTTGATAGACACCTATAGGAGACCCAGTTTCCCTCCAGTCAGAGGATTGTGTGAGACTAAGACCTGTGGCAGTGTGACACTGACATTTTATTCTTAGATAATTTCAGGAATTGTTTTCATGGGTTATAACAGATATTGTTGAGAATTAGGAACCCACCTGTATAAACAAGATGAAGCTAAAGCTTATAAAATGGATATGCTTTAACTGGCATGGAGTTCTGAGCTTATCATTTGAAGATGCACTAAAGAAAATCTCTAGTTATGAAGAATTATATAAAGGAAAAAGGCAGAGTTCATATTATTGCATGGTTATGCCAATGAATTGTTTTCATCTCAGGTTTTTCTAGCCCATCTGGAGCACATAAAAATTCTCATTCTTCAAAAGGCTTTGAGAGTTCCTGTTCTTTCATATATTTAATATTTGTAATTCCTTCATACATTAAAAAATGAACTTGAGAAGAAAACAGCGTTGGTACTGTTTTGTTTAATTTAAGAATAGATGAGATGGGGAAAAAAGAAATAGAAGGGTCTAAGAGAGCCCTTGAAAAATATGATGTTTACCTTAAATTGTGGACTCCTGTCACAGGCATACGTTAGATGGTCTTGGACCCTAGAATTTTATGAACCTATACAGAAATATATATTTTGAATAAACATAAAACTGGACTAAGTATGACTCTCTGGCAAGATACATTATTTTCCTCAAATAACTTGAACATAGAACTAAACTTCATAATTCAGAATCCACAAAAAATCATCTTAGACTAAATTTGCAAAAGTCTAGTCAAACTGAGAGGTATGGTTATTCTTTAACAGATGACCTTCGTGACAAATGCCATATCTTAATAATTGCTTTTCATGTCTTGGAGGTTTGCTTATGATTTTAAATGTTATCCTAAATTAAAGTAGAACTATTTCAAGTTTTCTAGGCATTATTATAGTGACTGCTGATTAAATGTGTCATATGTCCTGTGGAAATCTCATAATGAGAAAGTAAGGGTGTTTTTAGAAATCTGAGGAGTAAATAAGATTTTTGTATTTTGTGACAGCTGAGGATAAGCTATTCCTAATGTTAGATAAGTTTCTGCTATTCATTGTATATATGAAGTTAAAATGACAGTTTATTAGTAAAGACTAGTGTATTGCAGCCTAAACACCTAAAAAACTCATTTGCAAATTGGCAGGGCTTAGCCTCACCTGAGAGTTGAAAAGAAACCATGGGAGAAAGCCAGTAATTCTCTTAAATCCTTTCTCTTAGGCGTGGACCAACATGGTGCTAACAGTTCTCAATCAGATTCAGATCCTTCCAGACCCAACCTTCACAGCCCTCCAGCCAGCGGTGTTCCCGTGCATCAGCCAGCTGACCTGTCACGTGACTGACATCAGAGTTCGCCAGGCCGTGAGAGAGTGGCTGGGCAGAGTGGGCCGTGTCTATGACATCATTGTGTAGAAGACTTAACATTGAAGAAATTGAATAGCGAGGGTTAGAGTATGCCTGCCAATCAAGCTGATGGCGCTTCTCCACCAACAGCCCCACGGAAACTAGTGTCTCTGAGAACAAATGGCCGCTTCCTAACTAATCTGCTCTGGGGCCATTCTGGATACGAAGATGGTATCTAGATGACACCAATGATACTCTGATTTTGCACATTGTTTCAGAAGAGTCTCCTTGACACATTTCTAAATCTTTAAGTTAATTTCCCAGTGCTTTTGCCTGCAAAGTTATTGCCAACTGGGTTGCTTTCAAGAACCACTCTTTGAAAACATACATAAATCCATTTGATCCTTTTTTTTTTTTAAATTGCAATTGCTAAGGAAATAACTGCTGGTAAGTCAAGCTGATGTATAAACACTCAGACATCTAGTAACAAGCATTATTCACTGGAGAAAGATTTATGTCATGATTATGCATTTGGCGGGGAAGAAAACGAAAAGATAAATTCTTGGGTATCATAATCAAGAAAGGAATGACTTTCTCTGTAAAATATTCCAGAACATTTCAAAATTGTCCTAAGTTGTCAACAACGTCTTCATTTAAGGTACTATTGTGCCTTCATTTCCGTATTTCTAAAGGAAGACAATTCTTTCCTGGCAGGGTTGTAAGGGTATCTAATGGCAGCCTTTGACACACGGTACCCAGTGATATTTGCTGAGACAGATATTTCCAAGAGACAGAAGACTGACCAGCCACCCTGGCTGTCCCATTGGTCTTTGCTTTTGCTCCCAAGGCAAACAAGAAAAGGGAAAGAAAAAATGGTGCCTTAGTCCCTTGTTGCACAGACATTTCTATGCTCCACAGTTATCTGAACATATGCTATAACATTTGGTTTTTAAGGAAACAAAACATAAAATGCAACTTATTTGATATGAACACCCTTGGAGGAAAGGAACTCAGAGTTCTCCATTTAGTGAGCAGACTTCTCAGGGAAGGGAGCAGGAAGTGTGGGTTAGGGAGACAGCTGGAAGGGGTGGGAAAGGAGATTATGATGAAACCATTTTAAATCTTAAAATATTACACAACAACCATATGAAATTGTGGTGTCAATTATACATGCTCTAGTCTCAGAAGAAAACTAAAAAAGAAGGCACACAGAATGAAATCTAGGAAATTAAGTTTTTTGGTTTAAAATAGGTCTTCTTTCTGTGAAGTAAAGGTACCTTATGTCTGAAGCCTTTTTATTCAGGCCAATATTAAAAGTGGATATTTCTTTTCTTAAATATTACTAGAAATTAATCTGGAAGTTTTATCTTAGGTATGGAATATTTATATTTCTTAAATTATAGTAATGATGATTGAAACTCCCCAGTCAAGCCCACTCTCATACATCCTAGAATGTAGAGTTAGTTGCTAAGACATACATTATAATTTTCCCAGCCCCTAAAAAATGTATTCATAATTGAGTATGTCATTTGTCCTTTAAAAATAAAACATCACCTCTTCAATACTAAAGTAAAGATTTAAAACTGACAGCTTTATTCAGTGCTGGTGTTAGTAAACTTTGTCTTCCTTGAGAAATATGTCATCTATCTACAAGGTTAAGAGGAAGACACAGCTCCTGGATTTATTTAGGCAGTCTCAACAAAGGAACGTTATCATTCAGTATGCCACCTAGAGATCAACACAGAATCCAGAAGACATTTCTTTTAGTTCCACAAAACACCCTCTTTGCCTTCAGTTTTTACTCATTAGACAATGATTTGTTTAGAAACAGATTAGCTATCTTAACAAGCAATGAATTGTTCGGATAGCAATGAGAGCTGTCTTCTATACTTTTGAATTTTTATATTTTGTAAGTTATAAGAATTGAAAGTTGGGTAGATAGTTTTTGGTTTTCTTAACAAAGCAGTGCACCATGGTTGTTCTGTTTCTTTTTGTAACTTATCCTAGGTTCAGTTCTCCTTTGTGAGCCTGTGAGTACTAGAAAGTTTACTGGGCGGGTGGGGGTGGGGGGGAGGCTCCAGTGAAGAAGAGTATCCAATCAGAGTAATCACAAAATGTTTATAAGTAGCGATTTTTTATAAAACATAAAAATTCAAAGGAGGCCAGTCTCAATGTATGAATGTCATGTACCAGAGTATGATTGTCAGTTATTTAGAAATCAGAATTCATTCTCCCCATGCATTCTCCATTCTGGGATCCAAGCCTAGTTTATGAAAATAAATTTACCCCACACTCTCCCCAAACACTGTTCTAGTACTAGTCTGATTATGAGTACCAAAAGTAAAAACCTGAAAAAATATACATAGCTCTTCACCTGTAATTTTAGAAGAGGGTTTTGTTCCCTTCCCATCACCTTTTCTATAGCCTAAGTCTCACATTGTACTCTGTGTTCCACATCCATGTCAGATTTCAACCAGAAAATTAGCTAAGTCACAGTGATAATTCCCAGAGGTATTTGCAGTTGTCAAAAAGTACATTGCTTGATGCAAATAATCTCTAACAAACAGGACTTCAGGTCACAATGAAGTTAGTCAAATCCTCCCAGCGATGGAGAAGAAAGGGTGATAACTAGGAACCCTTCGTAGACAAGGAGTCCCTCCCCAGACTGCCCCAGTCAGTCCCTCACATTCTTCTTCGTGTCTCAGTTTCTGCCTTTCCCCATCTCTTCCTTCACTCTCTCCCAAGGTCTCTGAAAGACCAAGGTCAAGACAGCCTATGTAGTTAAAACAGTTATTACTATATATTTACAGATCTGAGTAGAATAAGATTTTTCACATTGCTTTCAGTTGCCTATATGTACTGCCAAAAGTGTGTTAACATAAGGTTTGGATTTACTCCCTTTTTTCTAACATTTTGGTGAAGTCGCATCATGGATACTTGGAAAACTCAAAGTGTAAAGGAATTGCTGATGGAACAGCTCAGCCAAGTATGCCCTACTCTTCATCAGATTTCTCCCTGTCATGAGGTCATAGGTTTGATCTAGGGCTAATAGACTGTTCATAGGATCTCTCCTAGCTTTTGCATCTCCTGATCAGCTTTTAAAGATGCTTAGGCTGCCTCTTTATACCATCTTGTTCTCTCTCCCTGTATGACTATTTTCTACCCTTCTCCATTGATACAAAATTAGGTACCTTTTACCATTTTTAGGCTATGTAATGACTGGCTGAGGCCGATGTTAACATACATAACAGCTCAGATTAAAATATTTTCAATCAACTATGACAAAATGATAACATAATTTAAAAACATCTTTAAGTGGAAACTTCTTTGTACAGTATCACTAGGCTTTTTGTCCTTGCTGTTTTAAGGAGATGGCTTAGACAGGGTCAGTTCAGAGAGTCGAATAGCCTTAACTGTGAGAAGGTAATGCAATTATGTAATAGATATCCTTGACTTCCCTCAGATACATCACAACTCTGCTTACATAGGAAAGTTTTCTTTCAGAAAGGAAAATCTATTCATGTCAGTCCCTTCAAAGTAAACAGAGTGAAGGCCTTTGTTTGGAACTGATGACAATAGCAAGAGGTTACAAACAGCAGGAAGGAGGTGAAATTTGTTGAATGCCACTGTGAATATAGACCCTTTACCTGCACTATCATATTTAATTCTCACAATAACCTTGTGAAATAGGTACTGTTTTCCTCATTTTTTCAGATGAGGACGGAGACCCAGCAAGGCTAAGAAATTTGCCCAAGATAACAGTACATGGCCAAGTTGGTTGGGAAAGCGGTGTCCCTGAATTCAAAGGCCATGTTCTATTATACCATGCTCTAAGTGCCCAGAGTAAACACTTTAGTGTCTCAAGGAATTAAACAGTTAAAATTAGTTGAAAATATTTGATTGATGTCCCAGATCTATAATGTTATGGGGATATTTCAAGTAGGCTTAAAAAAAGTGTTTATACATAGATTATATGTAACATAACATTTTGAGTGTTTGCAAATAAAACAAAACCTAAACTTTAATCTTAAAGCAGACCTTCAGTGGTAATTTAGGAAATTTGCCAATTAGATGGATATAATGGAGTAATATTGTTCATGGACAGCTGTTATGCAGGAAAAACATGGCAGTCTGTGTCCGGAATGACATGCACAAATTGTAAACCTTTTTCAATTACATTTAATCACTCAAATAAAGTGCCCTGTAGCCAACAGTGCCTCTCTACTTGCTTCCCTGAGAAGCATATAGTACTAAATTTATAGGTCATCATCAAAGTTTGGGAATATGCAAAATAAATGATAACTATTTTTCAATTGCACCCTTTAAAGAGAAAGTACTGATTAGACAAGATTGTTTAAAGATCCAGGAAGTGAGGTCATCAGGTCAACATCCATAGTAGCCATGTCCCATAATATCTAAATATTTCTACTTACTTTGCAAAAAAGGAAACAGGCATAAGGAAAATCCAGAACTTACATGTGCTTGGGTACCACGTAGGCGATCCTAGTGAGACTTAGTGTGGCCTTAAAAAAAGCAAGAGACTATTTTTAAGCACTTTTTGTTGAAAATATGAGCTTGTTATTGGACAAGATTTATGAAATTGGTAAAGAATTGTTGTAATTATGCCTCATCAAAAAAAACAACAACAGTGTGTTTACCTCATTCATTAGTGGAGCGATCTAGAAAACTGTTTGTCTTTTTGTGAGATCTTCTTCCTCTACTTGTATTGTCATGTTTGTGTTTGATGTAGAAGTAACTAATAATTAAGTTTTGGACTAGAGCACCATATAGCTTTCCAAAATACAATGATTACATCAGGGAAGACGGACCCCCCCCCAAAAAAAAAATTCATCTCCTGGATAGTCTAAGGGAAACTCAGTTGAGAACAATGCTTAGTTTCCTTATAAATAGTGACACCACTTATTATCAACTGAAGAAAACCCACTACCACACCACTAGCACCATAGAAAACCATTTTCCTCTATTTTTGTGTAATAATGCAAGGGGTTTCTAGGAAGGAGAGGCTGGCTGACCCATCTTTGTGACAAAATTCAGCCAACTGCTGGTCAATCCCATTCAGTTACGGTCCTTCCAGTCTGTTCACCCTCCAGGAATTGTTCGTACCATTAGTTCCTCTCCTGAAGGTTTAACAGTGGTTGTCTAGTATCTTCTGACTTTAGCACGTTAGCACAAATCAGTCACTTGAAGGGCTGGTTAAAACACAAATTGCCAGGCCCAGAGTTTCTCACCCAGTAGGTGTGGAAATTTGCATTGTTAATTAGTTCCTAGGTGAGGCCAGTGCTGCTGGTCTAGGGATCACACCTTGAGAACCACTACCTTCAAAAAATTTCCAACTATTACCTTTAAGATCAGCCTGACTTATCAAGCACTAGAGAAAAACTGAACTTAACCTTGGACAGACATCTTGGGATTGGATTCTCTACAGCATTCCTGCTCAACCTTCCCTGCTTCCAGGTTCATTCTACCAACCATTGGTTTTTTACAAGCTAGAAGACAATGAATGTATTCGTTCTATGGAACAGTGACATCAGCGTACGCTTCTCTTGTCTTTGTATTTGGAAACATTGATTCTGTGGATGATCGTTTGTATCACGTTGGCCCTTTGACTTGTGCTGAGGTGATTTGAAATTAAAGTATGTGGTGTTTGTGTTTCTTCTGTTCATACAGTTTTAATGAGATATGTCCATGTTGATTGCATTACAACCTTGGCTCCTGGCTTCCAGAGGTTTTTAAGTAGTTGCTTGCTTGCCAGTAGTTTTAGATCTCTCATTAGTCACCAAAATATCAGCACGTCAAGTTGTACTACTTGATGTACCTTCTTTCACGTAACTGTCTTGTGTAAATTAATATTTTAATTTCCTGTGTACCTGCAAAGAGTTTACCAAATGGCTTCATGGAAATTTGAAAATGGGACCAACTCCCTTTTGAGCAGTATACGTGTCTGTTTTAGAGACTTTTCAGTAACTATGTTGTGTTTGTGCTCATATCTGCAACATAAAGACCATATTCATTATCTCATCTTCCAAATGATGGGAGAAATGTAAAAGGAAATCAATATGCATTGGGAATACAGTGAAATCATGTTAACCCAAATATAGGTGGGGCCTTAGTTTATTTCTTAACTCTTTATTCAGTTAATTAGCTTTAGAAATTCTTTTTCCATGGGAAAAAAAATAGGGAACACAGAGGAAATAATTCATGAGAAAAAAAAATTAAATACCTTAAAATGATCACCTATGTATAAGCTATACTAATTACACATAATTCTTATTGATTTAATAAAAGTTTCTCTAAATACTTTTTTAATACCCAGAAATCATTTAAATTACTTTAGACTGTTGTGTGAATAGAAAGTAATGACTATATTTTTTAGAAAGCAAATCAAAGTGTTAATGGTATCAAGGATTCAAATCCTTGCCTCTGTGAGTGGAAATAATTGAAGTTTTTTGGGGTTTTTTTAATTTCACTTTTGTTTTCCATAATCTTTTTTTGGTTTGTTTTTGGAAATTATGTATGCATTTAGTTATCTTATTTATTTAAAAATTAAATTTAAAAAATTAATCTCTAGGAATAATTTATTTTCAGTTTATCTTACCAACTGGTGCCAAAAAGGGGAGGAGTGATCTAAAAGCCAATCTTTTGAACCACCACATAAAATATTATGTTTTCTCTTAAAGTTAGGGGAGCTCAAACCCCTGACTCTACCAGCCACCGTGGCCATCCATGGCTACCTCATGATATGTACAAGCTACATTGTATTCCTCCCTCTGCTGTTCTTTCTTCTGATTTTTGTTGGAAGCGGTTCTCTCTAATACAAATCAGTTTCCCACTAAGTGGGCAAAACTGGACAAAGTATAATGCTTTTGATATTTTGGTTTCACTTCGTTTGCAACCATGTGGTGGAATGTACGGGTATGGCGTGATGGGGGCAGATGGAGGTGCCTAGAGGGAAAGGATGATTTTGTTTGTTTTTGTTTCTTGATTTGTTTTTGGTGGATGGGTGGGGGGTGGAAGTTAGGAATTAAAAGTTTATTGCCCTAATCATGCCAAAATACTATTATTCAAGATTATTTTTCTGCTTTTCTAAGAGGAATGAATTTAAATAACTTACATTATAAACAGTTCCCTTACAACCATCTCCCCACTGTAAGTAAAGCCAATGAGTGGTAAGGGTCCTTTTATCCTTTCTTGCATTTTGCCAAAGAATAGACTTGTTTTCATTGAAAATTATAAATAAATGAAGCTTGGTATAGCCATAATGATTTGAGTTAGTATACCATTTTATCTACAAAATGCAAAATCCATCCTTGCAACCCCATTCACCAGGAGCCTTGAAGCATTTTGTTTACTCTAAATGACTTGTTAAAGAAGTACAGTTTTTGTTTTTCTTTTTTATTTAGTCAGTTTGGTCACATTTATTAAAGAAAAAAAGAGTTGAAAACTACCCTCATTTATATGTTGATATAACTGATTTGATATAATCTGTTTGTTGTTTAACAGGTCCCTGTAAGCAAGCTTGCAAGTGTATTTTGTGTACATTTTATCTGAGGTGAAAATGAAAATTCTAAAGAGAAAATATTTTAAAAGATATTGTATTTATGTTGCTTGTGTTGTAGAATAAAGATTCAAATGCATTTTAAAAATCTGATATGTGAAGCAATTTTCTTTTCTGAATAAATATATCTGAATAATTTATGTAAATATCCTGCCTAAAGAACTAGGTTCCTTTCCATGGCATTTCATAACTCTGAATAAAGAGCCCCCCTTCTAAATTCTATAACACAGAGATAGTCTCTGCTGACAATTTAGTACATGCCTAGAAAATACATTTGAAGATATATATATATATATATATATATATATATATGCAACCATTGTTTCCTTTTTTAAAAAAAGAGGGCTTATTTTACAATATTGATTTTTTTTCTTCATAAGAATAGGTATCAAATGCATAGTATCAGTAGATACTGATGTAATTTATTCATTTAAAAAACTAAGTTTTGGGCCGGCCAAGTGGCTCAGTTGGTTAAGAGTTGGCTTGGGAGTGCGAGCTCTGAGCTGGTTCAGATCCCACATGAGGGCCAGTGACACTGCGTCCTCTACAGCTAAGATGGTGAACAACAGCTTGATCTGGAGCTGGGCTGCTGTGAGTCGCTGGCAACAGCATAGGCTGCAGTGGGGCTGCAGTGGGCTGCCGTGAGCTACTGTGAGTGGCCGGCAGCCAGCGTGAGCTGCCATTAGCCGCCGTGAGTGGCTGTCCAATGGCAGGCGACCGACTGCCTCATCCGGGAAGAGAGCAATGATAACACCAACATGGGCCAGTGAAGCGAGATTCTCCACAACTAGACTGAAGAACAAAAGGACAGCAACTTGTCTGTTCCCCTTCTCCAATTCACCAATAAAATCTTAAAAAAAAGTTACCTTTTGTTCATAAATAGCTAAACCTCTCAATCAATAGGAATATTATTACTAAAAGGTAATACAGCCACTTTAAACTTTATGATCTTACTGGAATGCAGTTTTAAAACTAACTGTTTCAAAAGCCTATTAATAGTATAAGCCTAGGAATCACCAGGCCCAAATTATGGAAAACTGCTGTTTGGCTACTAGAAGGAGAAAAGACAAACAAAATGCCATAGAGATGGAATCTGTGATTCCATGATTATAGTCTATCACATACTCTGGTAATCTCACAATTGTATTACTAACACTTGGTCACTTCCATCTTACGGACAAAATGAAACTAAAATAGACATTAACGTACTTTGCACAAGGACATCACACACTTAAGGGACCAACCACGTTCATGGATGGAGACAGCTGTGGCAGAGTAGAGAAGGCTTTGGGCCATAGCCAGTAAAGCAAGAGTTCACATCCCAAGCTTTGTCCCTTCTTGGGAGTGGGAAAAATCAGACAACACTTGAGTACAGAGCTCAAGGTTCCTGCTCTATAAACTGAATCAAAGTGGTGTTCTAAGATAACACTAGAGCCCCAATGTTGCAGTGCTCTGTAAATGCTAATGCCTAACAAATGCAAACTGCTGGGTGCTGAAGGATAGCCCATTTCATCAATGGCCCAACTATTTTGCAAGATGATTTATACTTGAGATCTAACGTGTACATAATCTTGACATCATATCCATGAATGCACTACAACACAGAAAGCTTCACATTCTGTGCCAATCTTATAGAAGCAGGTAGGCACCTCAGATGCAGATCTCTGTAATCAAAACATTTTGGAAATAAATTGTAGGTCAATAGCCAATTCTTCCATTATTCATATCCAGCAATTAAAAGATTATGTGCCTAAATCTATGTGTCTTTCTTTAAATAAGAGACTTGATACACTTCAGATCTTTGGCTTGTGATCAAAACTTGTATTATAATTCAGCTTTGATAAATATTTCATATCATTAGAAAATTTACTTTCCCATCCGGCCTCAAGATAGGTTCAATAAAGCAAGTGAAAATAAAATGGAAGCATAACGCAAGGCTGTGGCTTTCACATATTGACCGACGTTCTTGTTATTCAAGCCTTTGCAAAAGCACTCTACGACTGCCTTTTATCTCTTCCTTGTTTGTTTTTCATTTATTGATTCCTAGTCACAACATCTAGTCATTGGTGCCTTGAGTCTGCCCTATTAACTTAATCTGGTTGTATAAAATATTTTGTTGTCAGAGAATCTGTCCAATTTAATGATCTCAGCCAAATTCAGATGGCAACAGTATAATTAGATCCCACCAAAGTTTATAAGCAGTTTCCAAATGACACACACACAAAAAAGACTATTTCAACATGCAGGGATCAAATTCACAGCAGTTTAGAGCTGAGAACTCAAATGCTGAACTTTAGATGACTTTGCTATAGTTTTCTAGTCTTCCCTACATCTATACAGGCACACCTTGTTTTATTGCGCCTCACTTGACTGTGCTTCACAGATGTTGCAGGTTTTTTTACAAATTGAAGGCAAGACCTTCCACCAACAAATAGATTACAGCTTGCTTTATTATGGTAGTACTTATTTTACTTCAGTGGTCTGTAGCCGAATCCACAATATCTATGAGGTATGCCTGTATATTAATTAATTGCTATATTGAGCTATTTTTGTAGCCGGTATAAATGATATGAGGAAGTAAAACAACATTCTTTGCTAGTGTCTCTAGCAGAGACTATAAAGAAAATAAATTTGATTTAAATGTTATGATGCAGAAGGCTCCATTATAATTCAACTTGAAAAACTGAGCATTGAAGTTAATTTACCAATTATAAAGGAAAAGATACTGTCGGTTATATTGTAGTTGAAAGTTTAATATTCCAAGGCTTGTTTTAATCTGCACCTATGACAGCCATCGAATCAGTAAATACTTGGATTTTCTGTTTTAACAATGTGTTATAAAAATAACATTCTTCTAAAACCTAGAATAGATTTATTTTTCAAGTGTGAGGACTATATATTATTACAAAACTTTCATATCAAAACCATTTAGAAATAAGCCTCTTGGAAAACTAACTGAACATATTTGACATCTGTTTTAAGCTCAACTAACTCGAGACACAGGCCGGGTTTTACATTAGTATAGGTTTAGAGAGTTAAATTTTACACTGTTAAATTGATAAATCTAATTTAACTAGCTCTTATTCCTATGGGGGGGAAAGTCTATAAAATCTTTGGGGATTAGAGCAGGGCATGGGGATAAAAATAACACCTCCTACTTGCCAGGTCTCTCTGTCAGCCCCCAGTCACGGTTGGTGGGGCAGCAGCCCTCCCTCTCCCCACACTCAGCTAAGCACCTCTCTGCATTAACTCCTTCCTTGCTCTTGCTACTCCAAGGAATCAAATGGGGAAAAGTTCACACAATCATGCAGATTGTGCACGAGACTCCCACTGAAATGATACACAGGACTCAGTAATTATCAGAATAACAGGGATTGTGCCTTTCATGAAACTGTGGACTGGCCAATATTCAGGAATGGGCACAGGTATGGACTTATAGGACCAGATCCCTGATCCAGACATGGTCAATGAATGCTACCAGGCCACCTTTCTTCAATACATTAAGTTTCTTTTTTTAATTAGAGTGTATTGGGGTGACAATGGTTAGCAAAGTTACATAGGTTTCAAGTGTACAGTTCTGTAACAAATAAAGAAATAAACACTAATTGATACAGGCAATAGTTTAGTGGTTACTAGAGGGTAAGGAGGGAGGGAGGTGGTAGATGAGGGTAAATGGGATTGAATATATGGTGATGGAAGGAGACCTGACTCTGGGTGGTGAGCACATGATGTGATGTATGGATGATGTAATACATTAAGTATTGAGGCATTAAGTAGACTCCTGTGGCTGAAAAGTATATTTGAGCTATTAATCTATGTTCTTTTTTTCTCCCAGGATTTTCCCCATACCTTTTCCCCTACTCAAGTAGATAGCGGGCTCAGAGGTTCATTGTTTCAAGGGAGGGGTATAATGGGACAGAATGACCCAAAAGATTGTCTGTGACATCCTTTGGCTCTTATATTCCAAAAGCCTAAGTCATACATATACATACTCATATATATGTATGCAAGTGTGTGTGTGAGGGTGTGCGTTTTAATGTGGGTTTTGAAGGAAGAGTGTGTCATGAAAAGGGAGAGTGTAGACAATCTCTAGGGTACAAACATGAGGGGAAAGAATTCCTTCCTCTTTGACCAGAACTGAATTTCCAGGGCTGGGAGGAGAGGAGGTTCAACAGCAAAAAGGCTGCAGGTCGGGGAGATCCCCTGCACTGCTAAGATTGTAAGAGCCCAGGAAGGCAGGCCTGCATGGAGTCCATGGCTGCAGGCTGGCCAGACAACCTGGGGAAAAGTCCTACTCCCTGGGCGTGGTGCAGGGTAGCAGAAAGATCTCCCCGCACCTCAGCTCCTGGTGTAGAAGCAGCAGGGTGAGCAGCCACCTGGCACAATGGAGGCTCAGAATACTTTTCAGTTAAATTAGAGAAAAATAAGGAAAATTAAAATTTGATACAAGAACTTGTGGGCTAAGATGTATACTTGCTTTTGTAGCGAATAATCTGAAAATCACAGTATTCTGTTTTTACAAGGAAATTCAAATGAGAATGGCAGGGGAAGACAGCTGCCCGTAACAAATGCAAAATTATTTCCAAGGAAGTGCCAAGCATTGGCAGTTGACAAGCCCTCCCAAGTTCAATGTCAGTGCCTCTCAACATCAAAAAGGTGTCTGCCCACTTTGGGAGCCCAGATGCTTCATTAGGTCATCTTCTATTATTAGGGTTCCAAACTCCCTCCTCTTGGATGTATGAACTGTTTGACAGTGAAGTTTTCTTCGTCCCACTGAGCAGGGCCCCAGCTGCTGCAGATAAACCAAATGTGTCCCCACCTGATTCCATAGCCTCCCTTCTACTTGCTTCTGGGTGAACTTGGCCACCTCAGCTCCCATGCTGCCACGGCTGCAGTTGCCCCACTTCATGTGTTAGCTAACCTGAACAAAACACCTCCCACCCCACGTGGATTATAGCCATGCAGCCTTAGAACTGTAAATAGTTTCTTTGTATAATCTTCAATAAGAACATAACAGGACAATGGCTTCCTGCGTGACTCACAACCTCGGTCAAAAATATACTTCCCCTCACCTACAATCCCTCCTCCTACCC